AAGTTTCTCAGGGATTAACAGAGCTGCTTCTGATGATTATACTATCCTTCATTTGGGACTTTGAATGGATTTCTCTAAAACAGAGCTGTAAGACTTGGAGAGCTGTCTGGAAGAAGTTCCTGTGAGCCATGCTGAGGGGCCCTGTTGGTATTTTTCCCCCCTTCCAGTGAGAATGCTTGTTCTAGAGGCCTCTCCCGTGTTCACTTGACAAAGTCAGAGCTCATGCATAACCTTGGATTCCCTAAATATTCCTTGACTCTGTGCACTCCTGCCAGTCTTCAGTGCCACCCTGTCTAGGTCACCTTCACTTCTGATCTGGATCCTAATCTTGTTTGTTTCTAATTCCATGGTCACGTGTCAGCTAGAGTGATCTTTTCAAGCCCAGAGTGGACCCTGCCCTTTCTCTGGTTATAGTCCTTTAATCCCTTCCATTACCTTCTGTGTATTCAAGTCCACTCCCCTCACCTGGTTGTGGACAGAGCCGTCTCCCTCACCTTGTACACACTGGCTAGCCCACTGACTGTATCATGCACACATGCTGCTTCCTCCTCCTGAATTAGGCCTCTGCTCCTGCCTCTCCCACATCCTCCTACCTTCCCTACCCCCTCCTGCCCAGGCTTGGTTCCTCTTCATTCTCTGGTATCTCTGGCATCACTTTCTCCATTCAACTAGTCTGGCCATGTGTTTCTTCTGCATTGTGATTGCTTCTTCAATTGGCTGACTCACTCGTGGACTGAGTTTCTTGAGAACAAGAATGGAGCCTTTTAAAAAAAATTTTGGCAGCTTTTGAACTCAGGGCTTCAAACTTACTCAGCTTACTTACTCAGCTGGTACTCCGCTACTTGAGAGAGCTCTCCAGCCCTCCTTTTGCTGGTTATTTTGGAAACCAAAGTTCTCATAGATGTTTCTAGCCGGGCTAGCCTCAAACTGTGATCCTCCAAATCTCAGCCTCTTGAGTAATTAAGATCACAGGTGTGAGCCCCTGGCATCTGGCCCGGAACAGAATCTTGACCAGCACTGTGTCCCCATCTGCTAGCATAATGCAAATTATAATTAAAGCAAAACAATTGCAATAGATACCATTTGACTGAACAATGACTACATGATTATTGCATTTAGTCTTTGTGGTGGAGGTTGTAATATGCTACCCAGACCTCCTTCCAGAAATGAGGCACTTACTCTACCTGCTGCAGGAAAAGGTCAGGACACATCTTATTTCTCTGCCAGCAGCTTAGGAGAGATGAGTTTTGTTAAAGTCATAGTGTAGTTGAGGAAACAGGCCTGCAGACCTTTAGTAACATGCTCAAGTTCATATAGATTAATCTTAGCTGTACTTTGGCTGAAGAGAACTGCTTTCTCCAAGGAAACACTTCCTTCTTGGTCAACCTGCTTTCAGGGATTGGTCCACCGAGAAACATGACACAGCCCCTTGGCCCAACTCAGCATAGGCCTAATGGGCCATCCCAGCAACAGGGCTCCCTCTCCGACAGACTGCTGTTGTCTTTGGGGCTGTGTCACCCTTCAGCCTGGCCCTGTGTTGCTCTTCAGAGAATTCCTGTGTCCTGCTTGCTAATGTCCACCTCACAGCCTGCTTCCCAAGGAACCCAAGGTAGAACAATGCTCAGTAGCTTTCTGGCTAGCCATAATGGAGCTGCTGCTTTTTAAAGCGGAAGCAACCGAGGTTTAGTGATGCTCACAGAAAGCTTTAATGGATGCAAGTGGGATCTGAGTTGAGGCAGTTGACTTGAGCCTACACTATTAATCAAGCACTCAATACATACGGTGAGTGACTCAATGGCTTAGTCTGACTAGGGAAAAAATGTTAAAAGGGAAAAAAATGCTAAAAGCAAGGACTGAGAAGCAAAACTCATGCACACGATTTTCCTCAATGCTGAAGAAGTAAGAGCAGCAGCCAGCTTCTAGGGAAGATGATAAATCAGACTATCAATGATGTACAGGAGCCGGGCTGAGTCATAGCACGGGTCACAGACAGGGGGGCTCAAGTCCTGCTAGGAGGGTGAGTTTTAAATGATTTCAATGTCTGGATGATCTAATCCATTTCTAAGGGAACATGAGCTGGCATCGAAGAACAGCCAGTTCTCCCCAAATTATGCATAAACCCTGATCATCCCAAATCATTGTTTTGTTTGGATGTTATCAGAGATTTACACAAGCAGGCATGCCTTCCCCATTCCTCCTCTCCCAGGGGCTGTTCAAAACCAGGGTCCCTAGAGGGGCATGTGGATGGGCAAGTGCATGAGACGAGGTGGGCCACAGGCAGAAGGAGTTAGTGTGGAGAAGGGGCGGAGATGTCTGGTCTGGTTATACTATGAAGACTCTGGTAGTAGGTTCTATAAATACACCCTAGTGGAGGTGGAGGGGAGAAATCAATATGGCTTAGCTGCAGTGTTTCAGATTGCAGCACTAACTTTGCATCTGTTTGTCATTAAAAGTTAAAGTCTGGGTGTGCTCTCTAGCTCAGCTGCCCTGTGCTCTCTGAACTCATGTGGCAGGTACATCCTGTAACAAGCATCTGGACCTTTAATCATAAACTCTCCTGTCTTGCTATTTAATTGTCTGCATTCTTCCCTGAAAGAATGGCAGGAGCTGTGGAACTTGGGGCTCTGGTGGTAAAAGCTAAGAGAGGTGTGTGTGTGTGTGTGTGTGTGTGTCAGTTCTGGGCTTGAACTCCAGCTTTTTTTTGGGGGGGGTCCTGTTGTGAGGCCTGAACTCTGGGCCTGGGCGCTGTCCCTCAGCTCTTCAGCTCAAGGCTAGCGCTCTACCACTTGAGCCATAGCGCCACTTCTGGCTTTTTTCTTTTTGCTTATGTGGTGCTGGGGAATTGAACCCAGGGCCTCAGGCATGCAAGGCAAACGCTCTACCACTGAGTCACCTTCCCAGCCCTTGAACTCCAGCTTTTATGCTCAGGGCTAGTACTCTACCATTTGAGCCATAATTCTACTTCTGGCTTTTTGGTGGTTAATTGGAAATACTGGTCTCATGAACTTTTCTACCGAGGCTAACTTCAAACCACGATCCTCAAATCTCAGCCTCTTCAGTAGCTAGGACTACAGGTGTGAACCTGTAAAGGTGCTTGGCTAAAACTACATTTTTCTTTTTTTTTTCTTTTTCTTTTTTTGGTCAGTCATGGGGCTTGAACTCTGGGCTTGAGTGCTGTCCCTGCGCTCTTCAGCTCAAGGCGAGCGCTCTACCGCTTGAGCCACAGCACCACTTCTGGTTTTCTAGTGGCTTTTATTGGAGATAGGAGTCTCACAGACTTTCCTGCCTGGGCTGGCTTTGAACCACAATCCTCAGATCTCAGCCTCCTGGGTAGCTAGGATTACAGGCATGAGCCACCAGCGCCCGGCAAAACTACACTTTTCTGATGAGAGGGTAGGAAGGAGTGAGGAGCACTGAGACCTGAGGTATTATGCTGGGCAGGAGAAGGCTAGATGCGCAGGAACAGGGCCAGGGGGTCTAGAGGAGAACAAGTCATATGGGGAAAGACACTAGGAGTTGCAGCATGACTCCAGGCATTGCTGGGCAGGTAGGAGAGAGCTGAGCATTCAGGGGTAGTAGAGAATAGATCTCATCAGCTGTGATTGGTGTGGATGGAGAAGTGAAGGCTATCTAAGGTGTGGGCAGGAGCTCTTCAACATGGAAGCACTACCATTGCTGCTCACTCCCATCCTAGACAATTTCAGGGTAGGGGAAGATAGCCCAGCCGGCTTTCAGTGACAATACATCTAAGCCCAGTGTGATGACATACTCCTGTAACTCCAGTTACTCTGGAAGCAGAAGGATCACAAATTTGAGGGGAACCTAGGCAACACAGACCCTGTCTCAAAAAATAAAATAGCCAGGTGCTGGTGCCCCATGCCTGTAATCCTAGCTACTCAAGAGGCTGAGATCTGAGAATCACAGTTCAAAGCCAGCCCAGGCAGGAAAGTCTGGGAGAATCTCATTGCCAATAAACCACCAGAAAACCAGAGGTGGTGCTGTGGCTCAAGTGGTAGAGTGCTTGCTTTGAGCTGAAGAGCTGAGGGACAGCGCCCAGGCCCAGAGTTCAGGCCCTATAACCAATCAACAAATAAAATAGACACATCCTGTGAGAATAACTACTACCTTCCTCCCCAGGTCTCAGACCCAACCTGTTCCCCTCACTTTCATCGCAAGACTGTCAATGCCCTTCTCATTGCCCAGCAGCCTGAGGAGGCATGACTAGTAGATGCACTGTATGATTGAAGAGCTATTAAGTAACTTGCTCAAGTTCACGTAGCTGAAGAGCCAGGATCTGGAAGCAGGCTTGTCTGCTTCCATGACCTATATTTAACAGACTAAACAAGCTTCTTGCCTTTTGTGGCAGTCTTTTCTTCCAATGCAAGTCCTAGCTGAGAGACTGCAGTGGGTTAAACAGTATTCCGGCCAAGTTCACGCCTACCTGGAACTGCAGAATAACACGTTACTTTGCACTTGGGATCCAATCAAGACAAGGTTATACTGGATTACAGGAGGCTCTCGTTTGATGTCCTTATGAGAAGCTGGAACTGTGGGCAAAGAGACACAGACACACAGGGAAAAGGCTGTACGACTGGAGTCATCACTCATCTAGAAGGACCATGGATTTCACAACCATCAGAAGACTGAAGAGGCAGACAGAATCCTCCCCTAGAGGTTCTGGAGCATGGCCCTGCAGACACCCTTCTGATTTCTGGCCTTCAGAACCATGAGATAATAAATTTCTGCTGCTTTAAGCCACTCAGTCTATGGCCCTTGGTTAGGAAATGAAGGCTGCAGTCACACCATAGATCTTTATTGCTCAGCCCAGCTGTCACTTCTGTAACCACAGCAGGAATGCCTCCTCCCTCCTCCTCCCCCCAA